GGTGGCGGCGGCGGCAGCAGCTCCCGGCGGTGGCGCTACTCCCGAGCCAGCCCCGAGAGAAGGGGCGGTCCCAGCCTAGCGCGCTTTTAAAGGGACCGCAGCCCGCAGGGCGGGGCGGGGGCGGGGAGACTTCAGAGAGGCAGGAAGGACTACCCGAGGGAATGAGCGACCACCGAGGGGTGCGCTCGGCGGTGGGAGGTGCCTGAGCGAGCGTAGAGGTAGGGGCGTCTCCAGGAAGCGTCCTGGACAACAGGGGCAGCTGGAGGATCCCGCACAGGGAAGGCTCTATCACAGCACAACTCAGAAGACTCGTTTTGCAGGGGGTCCTCTGCCTTCAGCCCTGCCTCCTTCCCCTCCCATCTCTTCTCCAACACCAGATACACCCCCGCCCGCACCCCAGCACGCCCAGGCGAGGAGCAGGTCGGAGGGAAGGGCTTAGGGAGTGGCTGAGGATGGAGTCCAAGGAGGGGTCCACCTGTCTAGATGTCCTCCAGCCACTCTCCCGGTGTTCATGCCAGGAGGGCTGTGCTTCTTTGCTCGTCCTCTCTCCGGCTTGCCGCCGCCCCCTCCCCAGCCGAGCCCGGCGTGGGTCGGGAATTCCCGAGTAGCGCTTCCGCAGCAGCCCCGTATCCCGTGACACCGAGGGACGCGCGCTCCGGGGGCACTTCCGATGCTGACCGCGGGAAGCCGCCTCCGCGGCGGGCGAGGCTGTCCTCGTGTGACTTTCACTCTGGTTGGATTCCCCCCGCCCCTTTAGCAATCCTGCCCGCTAGGATATTCCTCTTTCCCGGAAGACTGCGGTTATGGTGCTTGTGGAACCTGGGTTGTGAGAATTGTGACAACGCTCCTGCTCCCCATGGGTTGGGAGAGCTTTTCTTTCTAAATCAAACCCTCCTCTCCCCTTAAGTACTGGCGTAATTACTGCGGAAAAACTACTCCGCCTAAATGCCCTACTTTGTACTTGGTGTGGACAGCCCACCTGTGGTATCCAAGAGAGATCCCTTTTCTCCCAGCCCCAGGGCTTGCTTCGTGGTCCCTGCCTGGTTTAATGTTCTGCTATCACCACCTTGAAAACCTTAATTTTGTAACGAAGGGCCAGGCATTTTGCACCGGATCGCACAAATTATGTAGCTGACTCTGACCATGGAGACAGCCCATCTCACGGGCGAGGAAACAGGTGGAGCCGGAACTGCTGGATCTTCGTATCTTGTCACGGGCTAGCAATGACCCTGGGCCCTCTATAGCTCCAGTATTTTAAACTATAAATCGGGCTGGAGGTAGGGAGACAGGTAGATGCTATTGGGACTCTCCACTTCCACTCTGACTCAATGATCACGCCTTTCCTCTTAATACACGGGGTTCGGTTTGGTTGATTTGGCAGAGATAGCCAGCTACCAACTTTGGGAATAGTCTACATTTTTCTAGACCCGAGGCTCTCTCCTCTTCCCAGGCCAGAGGTGGGTCTCCCCCTAGCGTCCGGTAGAGGAATCTTCGCCTAGGCTTTTGTTTTCCCCTTGGAGGTAGTTTCTAGGTAATTCCTAAAATTTCTAGTCCAGTGGCCAGGGAATTCCCAACCTGTTTTGGTGCTTGGATTCTCCCTTATGGTGGTGGTAATCAGAGTCCTCTGCCTCCTGAATTTGTGGTGGCAGAAGACAGGTTCCTGGGTCTCTGGGTCTCTCCAGAGGCCCGAGCTTCTCATCTCCTGAGGTTGGGTCTGGATACCTGGGAAAAATGATTCGCGGCAGCCGACCGCACAGTGCCCCAAAGCAGGAACTGAGAAGGGGCCGTGAGCCACGAGCTGCCCCTCTGCTCCATCCTCCTCCACCTTTCTCCTTCCCTCTCAGACCTTGCTCTCTTTACATCAGTAGTTTTCAAACACAACACCTGGAGGGCTTGTTACATCAGATTATGGGGCTCCTCCTCCAGAGTTTCTGAGTTTAGCAAGTTCCCAGGTGGCGTTGCTGCTGGTCCAAGGACCCCACTTCGAGAACCACTGCTCTAGGTCTAAGGGGGTGATAAGAGAATGGGCTTCTTTGTTCTTTTCCCCACAGGACAGACAGGTGAACTTCAGTAGGACATGACCGAAAAACCCACAGGGGCTGTTCCTGAGTGCTTTCTGCTGATTGTGTAAGAGGGAAAGTACAGTTTGCCTTTGTGGTGTCTTATTCCCACCTCTCCCACTTTTTCTTCCAGCTGCTCTCTTGGGGTTGTTGCAGAAACATGTATCACATATAAATATTTGCTTTTATCCACCCTCTGTTATCCCTCCATCTCCACAGGCTTGAGATTCATTTGGAGATCCTTCTCCCCCAGGAGTGGAGGAGTGGGGTGAAGTCCAGGCCATGGGCCCAGCTTGAGCTCTGGGCAAGAGCTTGGTGTGGCAGGAAGTGGGTATCCACCCTCTGTTATCCCTCCATCTCCACAGGCTTGAGATTCATTTGGAGATCCTTCTCCCCCAGGAGTGGAGGAGTGGGATGAAGTCCAGGCCATGGGCCCAGCTTGAGCTCTGGGCAAGAGCTTGGTGTGGCAGGAAGTGGCACAGTACATTTGAAATGCCTTTTGTGAAATAATTGCCAAAAATCAGCATCTCTGTCCTCTCCCATCACCCCTCCAGCATGGTTTGGGCAGCCCAGCCCAGATTCCCTGGATAGAGAGGCTCACTGGGATGAGCATCAACTCCAGGCTGAGAGAAACTGGGGATTGACTGGAATAATCAGGCATAAAACCCTTCTGAGCTGTACAGAAAAATGCTCCGGTGTTTGTTTTCCAGCTGCAGCTCTGATCTGATGGAGTGGCAGTGGCTGCTCTCAGCACTGAATGGGGGAGGAGATCATGCAGGGCCAGAACCCAAAATTTGGCTTCTGGGATGGGAATGGAGATGAAAACGGAGATACTATAACTTCCTGTAACCAAGCCAAAAAGTATATCAAGTTTATCTTAAGGTTCATCTCCCTGAGCCAAGAAATTGAGGTCAGGGGAGGTAGTTGCCTCCCCTCAACCTCCACGAGAGGCTCCTGCCTGGGACTTGTCCCCTCCAATGCTATCTTTCCCAGCCAGTTCCCATCTTCCCGGAAACTGCAGCCCCTCCCACAGTGCACACTAGCAACTCAGTCCTCCTTCCCCAAGGAAGAAGTACTAAATAAATTTTAGTCTCATTGCAGGATCAGGATGTTGCCTGGGGTAGAGTCTGATGCCTGGACTTTTAAATTATTTGGATCTGCCTTTGGTGATCCAGGCCACAAGGGTAAGATCTCAGCATCTGCTGAAACACTCCAGTGGGAATTTTTTCCCCTCGTTAGCAGATCATCGTGGCTCACTTCCCCTCGTTAGCAGATCATCGTTGGCTTTTTTCTGTTTGTGACTCACTCCCAGCAGAGTGGGTGTGCTGCTTTTACTTTTGGCCAAGGGGAAGGATTATGACAGTGAGTTCTGAGTGTGTGATCAGTGTATGAGGTCACTTCAGAGGTGGCCCTAGAGCATGCTAGTTTCCCTATTGGGCGAGTTGTTTCAAGGCTGTCCCTCAACCTCCCTCTCCCAAGCTCCCTAGTAGGAAGGAAAAGGGGAGGACAGAACATGGTCTGACTTTCCGAAGGGGAAGTTTTTGGTTTTGTTTGGCTTTGAGGCAGCTGAAGTCAGCTGAAATCCCCGAAGCTTTTAGGGAACTTCCAGGGATTCTGACAGTTGTACAAGTGACTGCATGGAATCACGGTATCAGTTACGACAAGTTAGGTTATGCTGCAGTAATAAACAAACCCCAATTCTCAGGCTTCTTTTTCACACACAGGACATGCACTTTGCAGGCTGGCAGGGAGACTGTGCTCATGAGAGTCACTCAGCGACCCTTACTGATGGAGCAGCCACCATGTCTAATGTTGCCAGTCACCCTCAGAGAGAAATCCAGGGAGCCTAGAGAATCCCATGTCAACTTTAAAAGCTCCAGTCACTCTCACTGGACATCCTCACATTTGCCAGGATTACTTATATGGCCCCACCCTTTACAAGGGGAGCAAGATGTAAATCCTGCCATGTGCTCAGAATGGGGAAAGAGCTGGAAATAGTTGGCAATCAGCACTAATAACCACTGCAATCTTCAAGGGCACAGTCATTCACTCATTTAACAAGTAATTCTGTAATATCACTACATATCAGGCACTGTTCTAGGCACTAAGGGTACAAAAATGAAACGGACGTGTTCATGAAGCTTGCATTTCAATGGGAGACCCAGACAATAAACAAACACAATGCAATATGATGACAGATCATAAATACTCTGATTAAAAAGAAAGCACATTAAAGTTATATAAAGTGACAGGCTACTGTTATTAGATTTGGTGGTCAGAAAAGACCTTTTGGAGGACCAAACGTTTAAACCCAGACCTGAATGAAGGGAGCCTTTGTCTATCTGAGCAAGAGTGTTCCAGGCTGAAGGAACAGCAGGCACGACAACCCCAAACTTTCCCAAACTTTATGAACTTGAGTTTGTTCAAAATGTGTATTTCCAGACCCTACCTTCTGATTCAGTATGTCTGGGTATTGGCCTGTATTTTAGAAGACACTTTGATTAATGTGACTTACAGGCCACACTTTGAAAATGGGGGCCCAGCAGTGGGTAGTTAAAATGGTGTGACCCCCTCCACAGACATTTGGGGGAAAACGCCCTTATCCTTAACTACAGGATTACAGCTCTCCAGCGCTGCTTCCTTCCCTTCTTGGCCAGCATGTTGCAGAGAGAGCTCAACCTCCCAAAAACATGCGTGTTGCTCACAACATGTCATGGGGGTCAGTAATACCTTACATTACTAGACTGTAAGCAGGGACTGTAACAAAATGTTGTTGCAGGATTAAAATGTGTCAGATGCCATATGTTATATATTTGCTCAAGAAAAATGCATCAAGCATCTATTATATGGCAGGCACTTTTGGTCTGAATGAATTTATCTTCATCGCAACTCTGTGAAATGGATGGCATTCCTGTTTTACAGATGAGAAAATCGAGGCTCAGAGACATCGCATGACTGGCTCAAACAGGTGTCACAGTCTGGACTTAAATCCACTCATGTCCATGAGTTTACCTTTGCACTGCCCAGCGGGCATGGTTAAAAACTAAAAAAAAAAAAAAAGCAGTGTTTAAAATCTCTGATCTTGCTTTGTAAGTGCAGTGTGAAGAATCAGCAAAATCTTTTCCCATTCTCTCTCCCTATCGAAATCCTGCTTTACTTTCAAGGTCTAGTCCAAATGCCAGGTGTTCTGTGGAGCCTTCCCAGAGTCACCCAGACCTAATTCATCGCTCCTTCTTCTGGACTCCCACAACAAGTTGCTTGTATCTGTTTAACATTCATGTTATCGTAACATGAGTCGCAGTTAAGTTTTCACATTTTCGCCTCCCTCACTTGGGTCTTGTTGGCACCTTCCCAGAGTCACCCAGACCTAATTCATCGCTCCTTCTTCTGGACTCCCACAACAAGTTGCTTGTATCTGTTTAACATTCATGTCATCGTAACATGAGTCGCAGTTAAGTTTTCACATTTTCGCCTCCCTCACTTGGGTCTTGTTGGTTTTTCTGATCCCACGGTGCAGGGAAAATAGGAGGTGCTCATGAAACGTTTAATGAAATGAACTCAGCTGTGGACTCATGACCTGTGCCTTATCCAGGATTGTCTCTAAACATCCCTTCAAGCCATCGCCCCTGCACCCAGCAAGGGGAGGATGAATTGTTTGGTCTAGGGAAAGGCAGCCCAAGACCTGCTGGGGCTGAGTAGAAGCGGGGGTGGTATTAGCAACTCACATACATCCTTCAAGATGCTGGTTGCTGGGGTGGATTTCCTGCCTCCAGATGCTTGTAACTGGCTGGGGTGAGGGCTGATAGGGCACCATCCCCACTCTCAGGGGGATGGGTTTTCTGTGTGTCACCAAACTCCAGTGTTCCCAAGGGGATCTCCTGGGTCCTTGACAGTACTTGGGACAAGAAGGGCAGATCAAGGTGGGAATGTGAACAGGGATATGAAGGTTCCTGGGAAGGTGTCACCATGTAGAGTGGGGATGGGTGGGGCTTATTTTCTACCAGTTCAGTGGCGACTTCTCCATCCGCTTCTAAATTACAGAATTTTTCCATTCCAAGCTACTGTGCCAAGCTTATGATAAGACATGGGTGCGTGTGTGTCTATGTGTGTGTTTCTTCTTTCCATGTTGGAAAAACTCAGATATTCCAGGCAGATTTGTCAGCAGCTTTTTCCCCCCAGCCAGAGGAGAGGCTCCAAGCCACAGCTGCTTACATTCCAGTGCTAAGCCAGCTCTAGGCCCACTATGTGGCAGGAAGCCATGGACTGGGGTTATGCCAGACTAGCAAGAGCAGAGTGGCCTAGATGACCTCACGGGCTTTCCCAGCCCCAGCTCAGCCCCCACCCCACCCCAGCCGTGGCTTCCTCTGTGTGTCTCTGTCTTGTTGCTCGCATTTCTGCCCCCCATTCTCTCTCTCCCTTTCCCTCTCGTTCCTGCTACTCCCTTTCTCTCTCCATCTCTCCCACCTTCCATCCCTTCCTTCCTCTCTCCTTTCCTCACTCCCATCTCTTATCTCACCGCCCCCACCCCCCATAAAGGGTGCAGGAAAAGGACCCACTGCTCCAAGTGGCAGCAACTGTGAGCTTCCAAGGAAAATACACTGAAGCTACTTCAGGTCAGCCTGGCCCATTCCTCAGTACTACTCACTGGGGCTGCCTGATTAAGGATCGTTTGCAAGACGGAGGTAAAAGAAGCCAGGAACTCCACCCTTTAAAAAATCATTGAAGCAGTTTGCAGTCAAATGCTCTACAACTGAGCTATATCCCCTAAATAACTGGAGCAGTTTGGAAGTGAACCCCAAATGACCAGTTGCAGCAATCCTTTGAGTCTGAAGTGAGGCAGCTCTGTGAAAGCAAACGCTGGGTCCAGTAGGAGGGTGGCCAGGCCAGTGTCGAAATCCATTCTGTCCTCAGCCTGGCTTTCCTGGCCTCAGCTGCCCGGGAAAAGCATGGGCTGTGGGTGCCCTGTGACCACCTCTGATTGGCCTATGCTGGGCCATTCGCATGTCCTCTGCAGGACATCTGCAAGCTCTGCCTCCGTGTTCTCAAACCTCAGCTTGTCTAAGACTCACCAAGAAAGAGCTCAATAATGCAGATTCCTGGGCCACGCCCTTCTGATTGGATTCAGGAGCCGAGTGGGGTCCTAGAATCTGTGTTTTGAAGCAGGACACCAGTCTACAAAGAGGAAACTGTGTGCATTCTGAGAGAGAAACAGAGACATAACCCTCCAGCACCAGGCCCTCAAGCTGACTGTACCTGCAGCCTGGGAAACCAGGATGTGTTCCTGTACCCTTCCAGTTAGGCCCCCTTCTACCTCAAGCCAGCCTGTTTTAAGAGGGTGTGTGCCATCAATCTGAAGCCCATGTGGTCTCTTCCAGATATTTTTGACTGATCTAAGCCCCTGACTGAACCTATCTGAGACAAGAATTTCTGATTCTCCACCCACCCTGCACAGGGTCCTCATAGCCAAGGGAGGTGAGGGGTGGGGAGGCTGTGCAGAGAGCTTACGTTGTGTTTTAGGCACTGTATGGAAATATCTAATCTATTCCTACCCATAACTCCACACAGGCACCAAAGAGTAGTATCTTTAAAATACCAGTTGGATTACAGAAGAGAATGTATATTTAAAAAATAAAAAATAAAAATAAATAAAACACCAGTTGGACTTGACCTAAAACCTGTCTGTGGTTCCCTGAGGTCAAGCCCAAGTTCCTTAGTGTGGCTTGCAAAGACCTTTGGGGCTGGCTCCTCCTTTTCCACAACAACTTCCCACTTCGATTTACTCCCCAGTAACCAAGAAACACTTGTAGTTCCTCCCATGCCTGTGCATCTGTTGTTCCCACTGCCTGGGATGCCTTCCATGGCTTCTTTTCTAGGTATCACCTTCACCTGTCAGGACAACACTATAAAGTCACCTGCTCCCTAAGTCGTTCCCTGCATGCCCCCAGCCTGACGTAAGCATCATTCCCTGTGATGACAGTGACTTCATACTACACTTGAGCTATGCATTCCTATCATAGCACCTACCCTGTGATACTGAAATGATCTGTTGGCATGCCTGCCATCCCCCATGGAGGTGAACTCCTCAGGGGCAGGCAAGTTGTCTTAGTTCCCTCTGTGGTTCCAGCACCTAGCATGGGACGTGGCACACTGTAAGTGCTCAGTTTATGTCTGAATGGGCTCTTTTCATTTCAACTGTTACATTAGGAATCACAACAGAGAATGGGGAGGGAAGTTTCAGAGGTCCTCAGACACCTGAGGGTCTCACAGGCTCTTCTGGTCATGGGCTTTGTTCCGGTTTCTCATTCCACACTGAGATGGAGTCAGAAGCTATATGGAGCTTCAGATCAGGGGAAGCACCCATGTCAATGGCTCTGCCCAGCATGGGAACAAACTGAGCCCTTTGAGTATGTCTCCCACATCTCATGGGCTTTGTTCATGAGATTATGAAGCCTGGATCATATCATCTCTTAAAAAATCTGCACTTGGCTTTCAGGGATCCCCTGGCTCTTTCACTGAGCTCCACCAAGCACCTGGGATCCAGAGCGGTCACAGCTGCCAGGGAAAACCTGCTGTGGGACTTCCTTGCAGGGCCATCAATGAGCCAGAAGTGTTGGTCTGAACAGAACAGAGGTGGCCCAGGGCCCAGGGGCATCAAGGCAGCAGCTGGCCCCTAGGACCCCCAAACTTGAACCTGTGACTTAAGTGACCCCATGGGACCAAATAGCAAACAAAGTCACTTAGGCCTGATGCAAGCAAACAGCCTCCAGCAACCCTACCCTGGGTCTTTAGAGGGTGCTGGTCTTTCCTTTGAGAAACAGCATGGAGAAGCCTACCGGATCCATCCTTTCTCACTCCTGGCCTTGCTGGGTCAGGAGGTGGAGTAGCCTCTGAGGATGCGGATGGGCAGGAAGGATCTCTGGGGATATTTGAGGTCAAGCATAAGGTTGTCTTCATGCCTCAGAGAACACAGGGGGGCTTTCTACTCATCTCCCTCTCCTACCTGACTGTGTTCCCCTGCCCCTTCCTCCACCTGCCAGGCTAGCCGGGTAGGTTGCTCTGGTTCAGGCAAAGCTGGAGGTATTGCAGGGAAAAGATCAAATTTGCAAGCTGTCTGCACAAATCTGAATGCCCTACCCAGGTACTACTCCAGCTTCTAGACAAAATGAGGGAACGTTTAAAACGACCCATAGCAGTACTCAAACCCAGTGTTTAGGAGACAGCCTAGGTTTTGAACAGTGGTGAGGAGGGGGAAAGCAGCAGGCGCTTAGATGATGGGTTTGAGGTTAAAAAAAAAAGACAGATCTCCTTTCTCTCCAAGTTCCAGGTGCCTTACACAAGCTCCCCAAATGACAGGGCAGGAAAATGGAAGGAAAGGGAAGCTGAGCCTTCTCAGCAGCAGGCTGTCTTCCTTGGGCTCTTCCCTGAAATTGGGGCCCATTTAGGGGAAAAGCAGGAATCAGGAAATGACCGGCCCCACCTCTGTTTCCCAATACTTCTCTCAGATCTCGACCAGCCCCTGCTTGGTTATCAAGCACGTGCAGCTGATAGTCTTCCCTGCCTCACAGACACAGCCAGAGAGAGCCACCAGAAATAGAAAAGAAGGCCATGTTTATTCCATTTATTGAAGGCACAGGCCTGTGCTAGCTGGCGTGGCTGCTGTTGATGCTGGCTGGGGGGCATCCCAGGACCAGGCGGTGCCTTGGCAGGAGAGAGAGAGGGGCCCCACAGCACTGGCACCTGGCCTCAGCCACCTGTTTTCTCAACCTGAGGCTTAGCCAGACCAAGAGTAGAAGGAAATGAGGCTGTGTGTTGCTGGGGGCTGAGTGTGGCGACCCTCAGACATCACAGGAGAGGGGAGAGAGCTATGTTCAATGTGAAACACTTTAAAAGGAAGGAAGACAGATTAGGTCGTTAGACCCAGCATCCTGGGGGAACCCCAGAAGGCCTCCTGTCCTGTTTCCTGGGGAGTGAAGTCCTGTAAACCAAAGGGGGTGGGAGGGCCTATGGAAGCCTCTTCTAACCATGGCCCAGCCAGGTTTGGCCATATGGGCCAGGGTTAGAAGAGCTGTACCTGAGCCTGGATAGAAACAAGGGTCAGCCCAGGCGGTGACTGTCATACTTTTTCCTGTGGGTCCTGGCAGGGATGGCCTGGTGCCCCAGTCCCAGCTGTGCTGCTTCTCAGGGGGAAAGGTGGTGGACGGTAATGCTAGTGACATTTCCTGGCCACTGGCCAGGAGGGAGGTAGGCTGATGAGATGGGACCAGATCTCATCCTGGGTTGGGTCCCACAGTGCAGGAGAGCAGTGTTTCACTGTAATGGTTCAGGATGCCTCAAGCACCCCACAGAGCTCAGACATCAGGAGCCGATGGGACTCTACCTAACCTGCAACAAAAGGCACAGGTAAGCTTCACTCACCTGTTGGGGAAGCCTGCAGACCACACCCCAGGGCCCAGCACAATCAACTTTCAGGAGCACCAAGCCACTGAAGTCCTCAGCTCTCCTCTTGTAGCACCCATGTCCCCCAACAGGAACCAAATGGGTCTCATCTCTGACTGCACATTGGAATAACCTAGGAAGCTTATAAAAACCCCTAACCCCAGGCCACCCCCAGAATCTCCAGGGCACAACCCAGGCATTTGTACTTTTCAAAGCTCCCCTGGTGATTCCAGTGTGAGCCAAGGTTTAGGAAGAGGGGAAAGGAGTTCAAATTGTTTTATTTGGCTCTTTGGCTACAGCTCTGAATAAGGAAATGAAAATTTACTGAAGTTTTGAGCTATCTACAAATAGACTATATATTATACCAAGAAAAATTTATGTCAGCACTAAAATTAGAACTTCCTACCCAGGAGGGATGTTTTGGAAAGTCTTTCCAAGAAGCTGTTGAATCTCCTCTTTGCGGGTATGTAAGAGGCCGGATCCTCTCTTGCTGGAATGCAACAGGGAGGAGATGCCTCTCTCCTACCTAAGAACCCTCTAAAGCTCTAGGGACAAACCACAGCTGTGCTCCTGTTTCTCTACCTACTGGCCCCAATTCTAATGTCCCAGACTGATGTGACCCCTGGGGAACAATTAACATAAAATGAGTCCTTCCCTCCACGCCCCCCCCACCCCCAGGAACCTCACATATCTCATCTTATTTAATCCCTGTTAACACTGTGAGGTCGGAATTATTATTCCTATTTTACAGGGGAGGGGACCAAAGCTCAAGCTGAGCAAACCTCGCAGTCACCCCCAGGAACCTCACATATCTCATCTTATTTAATCCCTGTTAACACTGTGAGGTTGGAATTATTATTCCTATTTTACAGGGGAGGGGACCAAAGCTCAAGCTGAGCAAACCTCGCAGGGTCACAGAGTTGGTAAGGAGCAGAGTCAGGATTCACATCCTGTTGGTATCTCTGCTGACACTTTCCACCTGCCACTGGTTCCCAGATGGGGAAGTGATAGACAAGGGTGACGAGGAGGATGTGGGAGGTGCCACACGCGTGTACACGTGTGTGAATAGGCCCTCTGACCTTCACAGCCACAAGGACCAGCCTCTATTCTGAGATGATCTCTTTGGTGTTGAAATGTGCTTCATGAAGTGGGACTACTAGATGGCAGGGTTTTTACCCTTTCAAATGTGCTTACTTGGTTATATGAGCAGTTGGCAACTCTGTTGTTCTCCAGTTTTCTTTTGTGAATTTTACTGGTGCACAAAATCCAAAAGTCTGAGCCCTGCTGCATTCCCACATTGCCCTCTTCACTGCCCCCCACCTGGAAGGAAATCTACTCAGGAGATGGTCCAAAGTCTAAGGCTGGGTCTGCAGCCTGGGTCTGGCTCCAGGAGCATCCGCAGGAGGAATGGAGTCCCACAAGGCTGGAGAAACACAGGCCTTGGGCAATGAAGCCAAGCGCTCCAGGAGCATCGCAGGAGGAATGGAGTCCCACAAGGCTGGAGAAACACAGGCCTTGGGCAATGAAGCCAAGCCATCTATGCTTTGGCTCCCTGGGGAAGGACATGGAGATGAAAACAGCATCCCCTCTAAGGCTGGTTGTGAGGATTAAAGGAGAGGGTCTGGGGAAAGCCTCAAGCACAGAGTCCACAGTCAATGTGGAGCTGGACACAGGTACACACATCCATGTGCCTCCAAGTTCCCATCTTGCTGGTGACACTGAGGCTTGCATTTTAAAGACTGTGAGTGAAACCCAAACCTCTCAGGATGGTGGCTCACTTGTGGACAAGGCCTCAGTTCTAATGTGGCTGTACAGGAAATGGACATGTGTCCTTAAACCTGCATGGGCAGGCATGGGGACTCTGCACCCCAAGGCGAGGGCAGCGTGAAGACCAGCCCTTGCTTGCACACCGTGGGAGCTCCTACCGTTCGATGATGCGGTTGTTGTCCTGGAGGTCAAATGCCAGCAACTTCATCTCCTCGCAGAGCTCTTGCATGCTGTCCAAGCCAGAGGCAAGAGAGGGGGGCCGAGGTGAGGCTGAAGTCGGACTGCACAGACCCCTTCCCAGGGAGGGTCCGCCCTCCTCTACAGCCCCACGAGGCAGCCTCTTTAGTCCAGCCTCTTAAGCCTGGCATGAGGTGAAACCCCCAGGCCATAACCTCAGCACCCTTCCCCCATGCAACCATCCCCTTACTCACACACACACACACACACACACACACACACACACACACACACCTCCCTCTCCAGCACTTACTGGAGAACCAGGTCTTTCGGTGCAGGGCTGGGATAAGGAGCTATGGAGGTTGGTGAGGCCTGTGCCCCCTCTGTACTGTCCTGAAGAAGCTGGTGAGATAGCTGGTCAAGGATCTGAAGAGAAGCCACGCTTTAGTCAGAAGGGATGAGCCAGCTTACGTGTGGCTGGGCAGGGAACATGCTGAAGAAGGGGAAGAAGAGGGCAGCAAAACTGCCCCCAGCCTGCATCCCCACAGTGCCCAGAGTTCTCTAGCCTTTCCCACCAGCCCTCCTTCTCATCCTGAGAGTGCAGCTGGCACAACCCCCTTCATTCATCTGTGCTTCAACCGAATGATCCAGACTGCCAAGTTCTCCTTTGTGTCTAAAGTAAACCTCTCATGACACAGTGTGAGCCACCAGCTGCAGAGAGGGGGTCGGGGCAGCCGATCTCTGGAAGCACAGGGCTGCTGCGTGCGCTGTGCACCAGAGAGGAGAGAAGGATCCCTGCATGGCTCTTCTCTCCGAGAAGCAGCAGCCCTTCTCCATTTCTTTCGGCAAGGTAGACGGCTTCTCAGAACTGCCTGTGTGCTGGTCTCTTTGCAGATCAGAAAACCAAGGAGATTTCGCATCACCTTTCTCAGGAGTGGCCTTGGAGCCTCCCAGGCTGCACAGGACCATGAAGATGTCCTCACATCCTGGAGTCCCTTGCAGTGACCTTCAGTCTGATATCACCAGGAAGTGCCTTCCAGTCTTCCTCCATCCCCACCGCAGGGCACATTTGTGGGTAAAAAACCTCCAATCCACACCTAAGTGCTCAGACTTGGTCAAAGCATCTCTGCCCTGAGGCAGGGGAATAGCCCGAATACTCCCTCCACTAAAGGCATGAGAATGTCTCCCTCAGCAGCCCTGGGTGCCCCTGAGAATCGCACCTTGCTGAGGCCCTCCTGGGCTCCCTGGGCTTCTGTGTTGCAGGCAGCCACAGAGCAGCCCACTAAGCGCAGGTGGTTCCTGGTCTCGTGCACCTCCCTGGAGAGAGCAGAAAAGGAATTAGAGCTAGAGCAGGGCTTGGCTCACTCTTCCCAGGGCCCACCTGGCTGTCCTCGGGTGACCACACAGACGCAGAAGGGGCCCCAGCACTGGCCTCCCTCACTGCCTCTGCCCTTCAATGACCACTGCTGAGGAGGCTGGGGAGGGACCCATCGCAACCACACGGGGAGTGCTGACAACATGCCTGTGGCTGGGGCCAGGTCACACAAGCGGTTAGGGTGAGTGCAGAGACAGGTGGGGCTCCAGAGAGGCAGAGGACAGCCCACACCAGGGCACTTCCTATGGGGACCTGTCCATGCTCCCATTTCCAGAGCAAATCAAGGTCAGGACTCTTGCATGAGTTCTCTTCTCTCTCTCAGTGCTGGGAGTGAGCGAACATTCTCTCCAAGCCCAGATCCCTTAAACCAGCGGTTGGCTCTCAACTCTGCCTGCACGTTAGGATCACCTGGAGGAGCTCTTAATATGCTGACACCCCCCCCCCCCTCAGTGCTGGGAGTGAGCGAACATTCTCTCCAAGCCCAGATCCCTTAAACCAGCGGTTGGCTCTCAACTCTGCCTGCACGTTAGGATCACCTGGAGGAGCTCTTAATATGCTGACCCCCCCCCCAGCCATGTTAATTAAATCAGAATCAATTAAATCAGAATTTGAGGTGGGCTGGGGATGGGGGAGCAGGCCTTGGTATTCTGATAGGAGGGTGGGTGAGTGCCGGGTCTCAGCCCCATAACAAGTCCACAGGTCACACGGGCCATCTCAGAACCTGGCAGCGCATGGGAAGCAACTGGGAAACCGTCTCCTCCTTTCAGGAGGAGGGTAAATGTTCACGCTGGCAGGGGAAGGAGGGAGAGGCTTGTCTGAGAAGGGAGAACTCAAAACTACCGCAGGGAGTGGTGTGAGAGAGGGTTGTACCTAAGGGCCACTGCCACCTGTCCTTATCCCAGAGGGACCTTGTTTTCTCCTCAAAGAGGAGGTTTCCCAACACAACCAGCTGGGACAGTGGAAAGAACCCCAATTTTAGAGGCAGATGTGCCTATATACTCGTACTAGTCTGGGGACTGCTAGCCCTGTGATACTGAGGAAGAGACCTGTTTTCTCAGCCTCAGATTCCTTATCTGTGAAATGGGATCATGACAGCTATCGCATAGGGGAGGTGCCATGGGGCTGAATAAGCTACTGCATGGAGATCACCTGCAGGCTGCCTGGTCCGCAAAGGCACAGAAACCACATTCCTTCACTAACTTCTCCCTCTCCACCAGGGCTCTGCGAAGCCCAGGGTCCTCTGAAGCCAGGGAGGGCCATGCCAGGCCCTGGGATCCATGAGCTCAGGAGGGACTGTTACCTCATCCATTTGCCATGTGTGATCAGGGATGCCTGATACTTCTGCACACACTCCTCCTGGAATACCTGCAGGAGCCTCTTGGCTAGATGGCTAAAATTCACCCTAGGAAAACAGAGAAACCCAGGCAGAGATGAGAAACTGTAGCCGCTTGCACACAAGGCTAGCGTCTTTTGGTCTCCATGACCACCTTGTCATCAGCGCCCAACCCCTGGACCTTCAGCAGGGCCATGTCTCTGAGGAAGGAGAAGACAAAGGTCACATACTTGGGTTGCAAAGGCCAGAGAGGTCAGCAAAGCACACACATGAACAGGGAGACCCGGGAAAAGGACAATTGGTCCCTGGAGAACACACACAATCTCAAGCTTGGTCCCCAGAGGGAAGGGAAGAAGAGACAGTTATGGAAAGGGTGTGTGTGTGTGTGCATGTGTGCACAGGGCTTCCTGGGTGGATGCAGAACCAGGGGAGTGAATCTCCAAATAACTATTAAATCAGGGAGGGCCTCCTGGGAGGTCCTGAAGTGAGAGTCTGGGACACAGAGGAGCACAGGTAGGCTTTGGCAGAGGCCGGAAGCGGGGAGTGGTAAGCGGTCATCAGTGAGGACAATTAGGGAAGGAAATCCTACAATCTTGTCTGCACCAGAAGCTGGGACACAGAGGAGCACAGGTAGGCTTTGGCAGAGGCCGGAAGCGGGGAGTGCTAAGCGGTCATCAGTGAGGACAATTAGGGAAGGAAATCCTACAATCTTGTCTGCACCAGAAGCAAATCCAGTTACATCAAGATTGTTTCTGAGAAGCCTCCCCCAGACTCGGCTCTGCAATCTCCTCTCCCCTGGCCCCGATAACCTGCCCTGGATATACTTGTAGTTACCCCCTGTGGCTCCTGCCCAGTCACAGTCTGGCATCAGAGCCCTTCACCACTTCTTGTCTGGCAGGGGGTGTCACTCTGCCCTGGAGACACCCACCCCCCTGCTCACCCATCTGCTGGTGGGCAGGCCACTCACTTGTCCAGCTTGTGAATCTGCTCCTCGTTGTAGCCGAGCCCTGAAGGAAACAGACAGGAATGACATCACATAAGGACCAGGGGACAGTTACAAAAATGACAACAGCCCAGCGGGGGCCCTGTTTCACCAGGGGGTGCTCACAGCCCAGTGGAGCCAGGCAGGGCAGAGGAGTGGAACAAGCACCCAGGCATTGGTGATGACGAGGAGGGGCCTAAAGAAGCTGCAGAGAAACTGCTTGGGGCTCCAGAGGAATGCAGCCTGCAGCGCAGGGCCAGGACAGCTGAACTGGGGAGCGCTTCAGTGGCAAGTGCTGGATGAGACCGATGCTTGCCCCTCCCAGAGTGACCGATGCCTCCAGCTGCTGGCCCTATCCCTCCTGAATATTCATGCTGCAGGCGCAGCCAGATGATCTAAATTAATGAATTAATTCAATTGATTTAAAGTTAAAACCCTGTTTCCTCCCCCTCTGCACAAGCCACTTTTGCCAGAAGGGCTGAAGGGCGCCAGCGCTCACGCACTGGGGAGATGCTGCCCCCTCCTGGGCTTTGAGGGAACGGGCCTTCAGGGTCGTGGCAGCTCCAAGGTGAAATGATGCGGGTTCACCTGTGGCCCCGCCCCCCAATCCGCTCCCCTAACAGCAGGATCCCCTTCCTGGGCCCTGCACTCAGCCGGCTGAGGGCACTTGTGAAGTCCAGGAGATCTGGGCCAAGTTCCAGCCCTGCCTCCTGTCAGCAGGCGGCCGTAGGCAAGTGATTTTGCTTGACTGAGCCTGCTTCCCTGTCTATCACATGATCCACACATGTGGATCAAGTGAGAGAGGGCCCTGAAAACTACTGAGCATTTTTAAAATGGTATCTTTCAATATTCTGGGTGTTAGCAGTTAAGGGTTCTTTTTTTTTTTACATCTACTTGTGCATATTTGTGCATATAGTGTATTGTTTCAGTACACACATATACTGCACGGTGATTCGCATAGGATAGACAGCATAGTTTTGTACCCATTAGTCCACCGCTTCTTCTCCCCCATCCACCCTGGACTCTGGCTATCGTGGTTCTACTCTTTACTTCTACGAGAACCACTTTTTTTCTTTAGATTCCACATATGAGTGATATCATGTGGTATTTGTCTTTCTGTGCCTGACTTACTTCATCTTGCAGACCAAGAGAAATAAAATTCTTTTGAGGCTGTAAAATGGAGCAGTTAAAAACAGTTGGATCTAGATTGTTCGGGATACTTAACCTTTCTGTGTCTCAGTTTCCTCATCTATAAAATGGGGAGGATAATCATGCCTACAGTTTTTATGAGCATTAAATAACGTAAGAACATGCTCTTAACCCTGACAATGGCACCCAGCACAAGGCAAGTGCTCGGAAGTTTAGATTACAGGGTTATGGAATTCCAGCCATGGGGGAGGGAAGCCTCTGAGGTTCTCCTGAAATCACAGCAAAGGTGGCCAACTGGATACAAGGCCAGCCTTGCTGAGCCCCAAGGAACAGGAGTCCTGCTTTCTCCATCTCCTGTGGTCTCTCCCCACACCCTCCAGGGCCAGGCTCAGAGGCAGGATTGAGGCTCCCAAGGACAGCGGATTATCTTTCAGATCTGTGTGTCCACTACAGTGGCTGCCAGACTCATGTGGCTCCTGAGCCCTCAGATTGTGGCTACTGCAGCTGAGGAACTGAAGTCTTATTTTAATTTAATTAACTCAATTAATTTAAAGTTTAAAACTGATGCAGTATGAAATATTTGTTTCCCATTATATAGCTTGATTGTTTTGGTAAGACTATATTTCACTTTGTTAAGTGGAATACTTTGGAAGACTTAGCACAAAAGAAGTGACTATAAAATACCTCCTTAATAATTAATAATTGATTACATGCTGAAATGACATTTTGGATATATTGGGTTGAATAAAATATATTAAAATTAATTTCACCTGTTTCATCCTATTTTTAAAAATTTGGCCACTAGAAAACTTAAAATGACATGTGGCTGGCATTATATTTCTATCGGACTGTGCTTTTTATTTATTTATTTGTTTATTTTATGAAAAAACATTAAATTTCATTAGTTAAACCATTATGACCTACGATACATTATAAATAAAAGTGACAAAATGTAATGCCACCAATTAAACATGAATCCCACTCAAGAACATGCTATTCTGGTTCTTTTGATTTAACTGCCCACCCTGATTTTCTCTTTAATTTCAAAAATATTACAAATTTTCCAAATACCTTTCAATGGAGAAGGTCCTTGAGAGGCCACAATTTCTCCTGCATTATTTCTACCACTTTCTGTTTTTATTTTTTGGCAGCTGGCCAGTAAGGGGATCTGAACCCTTGACCTTCATGTTATCAACACCATGCTCTAATGAAGTGAACTGGCCAGACCTTGGATAGTGCTTTTTAGATAATTCCAAGGATAGAAGAGAATTTGGCAATCAAGTCCATGACCTTCAGTCTACAGATCAGGAAATGTGTGGGGCATGGGAAGAAAGAGAAAGGGTGGGTCCCTGGTGGGTTAGCTTTCCAACCCCAAGAGTCAACGGGGCCCCCCTACTGGCTCCCCACAAACCCCATCACTAGCCCTCCCCTGGGTTCAACCCTTGCTCCATGACCTTCAGTCTACAGATCAGGAAAAGTGTGGGGCATGGGAAGAAAGAGAAAGGGTGGGTCCCTGGTGGGTTAGCTTTCCAACCCCAAGAGTCAACTGGGCCCCCCTACTGGCTCCCCACAAACCCCATCACTAGCCCTCCCCTGGGTTCAACCCTTGCCCTGTCTCACGGTAGCAGTCACCTCGGGCAAGCAGTTTCCCATCCTGAGCCTGTAAATGGGCTGCCCCTGCCCAGAGGGTCTTTGTGAGGGTTAGTAGTTAAGGCAGCCAAAATGCCTGGCCTAGTGACTTGAAATGGGATTTCTCCTGATCCCCCTTTTCTGGAAATTCTGGCTATCTCAGTGCCCCAAAGACATAATAGATAAGGAAATACTCATTAAACTGTAAAGTACCCTGCCAAGTGAGGGTTTTCTTTCTAGGGTTTCCTCTTCTATAGCACCCAGGCTCTAGCACACTACGTCCCCCAGCCATGTCACCTAAGGCTCTTGTGTGGCAGTGGAGATGGGTGTAAAGGCTTCATGTCCCTTACTGGCCTGCAGGCAGCTTGCAAGCAGGACCCCGCTGTAGACCGACTGCACCCTGGCTCCACATGGCGGGTCCACTCAGTGGCCTCCAGCAACACCAGATGGAGTATTAATAAATGACTAGAGGGAAGGAAGGAAGCAGGCAGGGAGGAGACAGCACCAGGAGTCCCCCACGCTCACCTGGCCTCATCCTAGATTTCTTGAACTGTTTGTAGATGAGGTTCATCTTGTCCAAACAACACTGAATCTGCTGGATGCTGTGGGCAGAAGACAGGGACCAGGCGTCGGAAGGGTTAAACAGTACGAAGTAAAGGGCGAAGGAGGGGGTGGGATGGCGGTGGGTGTAGGGGAGCAGCTACCTCCCTGCAGGGGGAGCCTCATTGCCACAGTTCTGGAGGGCCAGTATGGGAGAGGGGTGACTGCCCCGTCTCTAAGCTTATTTGAAATACTTAGGAGGCAGCCAGCCATCTCTCATATGCATTCTCTCTCTCTCTCTCTCTCTCTCTCTCTCTCTCTCTCACACACACACACAACACACACACACACGCACGCACGCACGCACGCACGCATGCACAAACACACAGAAGAAGCCAAGCAGCATGGGCAAGAGGAAAGTAGCATTTGCTATACGAGAAGGCTTGAGAGAAAAGGCTCTGGAAGGAACCTAGGACCCCAAAACTGGAGACAGCCTGGCAGTGATAGCTAGGGATGGAGTGCAGCAGAAGTCCCTCCTCTAGGCACCTGGAAAGGGCAGAAGGGAATCCCTTCTTGGTATGTATCCAATGCCTGGCACATAAAAGGAACTTAAGATCAATGATGAATCAACAATTATTGTTTAAAACAAGAATGAATCAGTGTCCCCGGTTCTTCCTGGAGGCAGGGGAATCCAGGAGATGACCTCTCAAGGACGTTCTCAGCTTGAAGTTTAAGGCCATTATTGTTTCTTCTTTCCCCTTTTTGGGGTAGACACGAACTCTTTGTTCGAGGTGCTGGGTGTGTGTGGGGAGTTCTTCCTCACCCTCACGCCTATTTATCTCCACTTCCTCCCCAAAGCACCTCCATGCAACCCCATCTCAGCTGTTTCTGGATCTGGACTCTGGGCAGGGCAAAAGCTTATTCCCAGGGCTCTGCCAGCCTCAGAGCTTGCTCTCCTGAGAACATAGGCATGGAGGATGAGGTAGCTGGGATAGGACCTCAGATCCATAGTCCGTTCAAAAGGTTTGGGGCTAAATGTGTTCTGAGTTCAGAATTGTCTTCAGACTGCAGAGAGGGATTTCAGCACACATATGAGATATCATGGAATACCCCTAGCAGGGTCTGCGGCAGCACACCCTCATCAAATACACACATGTCTTCAGAGAATCATAAGAATATTCACCCAAAGTGGGATAAATAAACACTGTAAAGAGTCTCATGTCAGTTTAGGCCAGGTTTTGCAGACAAAACAAAAGAAAAAATGGTTTTCAGAGCTTTTTGAATTTAGAATCGAAGCCATGGGATTATGGATCTGCACGGGCCCTGATTGTGGTAGGTCCTGAGGGGAACTGGGGGGGCTTCCCGTGGCATCATCCACCCCCTGGTCAGAGCAGGGCGGGGGAGGCAGCGGCTCTGCACACAGACCGTGGGGTGGGTGGGCACTTCATATTTGTTAAAAGGCAGACTGGGGTTTTTAAAGGTTGTGAATCCCTGCCTGGTGTAGGCTGTGGAGGTGGGCAGACCTGACCTCAAGCCCTACCTCTGCCATTTGCCATTTACTGGCTGTGACTCGGGGCAAATTAACCCCACTGAATGAGCTTCTCACCTATAAAATGGGCATTATAGTAGCATATTATTGTTTTGAGGATTCAGTGAGATGCTATAAGTGAGAGGACCTGTCCAAGGGCTTGACACAGAGAAAGTGAACTAAACTATTCTTTTATTCAGAACTACTGCACCTGCTAAGACTCCTAACTTGTTCTTCAAACTCCCAGATGGGGCAAGACCCCAGATCCTTTCTCCTTCGGGCTGGTCTGGGGAGGGGTTGTGCTCATTCCTGGATCCCCAACTTCCCTACCTCCTCCCACATGCCCTCGCACCTTTGCCAAGAGAAGGGATAAAGCAGACTGACTTCTAAAAGGCTACTGGACCTTTTGAGTTGCACGGCCCCCTGCCCCCACCCCACAAAGAAGGAAAATCCCACAGACCTTCTGTCCTCATGTACCTGATCCCGGTTCTTCACCAGCTCGGAGCTCAGATTGCTCAGGCTCATCTGGGTCTCTGTGATATTTTGGGAACATCTGGAGAGGACCTCAGCCAACTGTGGGGCAAAAGGGCAGACCCTATGGGTCCTCAGCTCGGGGATCTGGTGGGCAGCCTGGCTGGACCACTGGCTCCTCAGCTGGGCTCCTGACCAGCCCCAGCCCCCAGCCTCACTCACAGTCCGCAGCCTGGACCTCAGCTCCACTGCTCTCTGCAGTTCCCGGATCTCAGGCATCCCAGCCACACTGCTGGACCTCGAGGGAAGGGAGGAGAAAGTCTACATTTGGGAGCTTCAGAGGCGGCTGCGGTGGGAGGCAGAGACCTCTGTAACCACATGCTGAGGGTGGCATCTTTGAGACAGTCTTGCTGGTGCATGGGATTTCTGGGGAGTTTTGTGTTTGGAACAGATGAACCAACTTGAAGAGGGTCCTACTCACCAAAGTCGTGGCATTGTTTGGTATTGCAAAGAATAAAGATTGAAGTGGACAGAATCACCTCAAATCTATGAAAATTCAAGAGCCATGATGCAATGTAGCTATTAATAAACTCCTTATGAGAAAAATTTGCAACCAAAGGGAGCAAATTATGTTCCTTTCCAGCAGAAACTGTATTTTGTGGAAACCAATAGCTTACTGATGAGGGAAAAGTTGTTTTTTGTAGACTACTAGCCAATAATGTGCTAGGACGCGGCATTAGCACCCTACTGCTCCCAGTGAACCTATTCACTTGGGCATGTTGCTAAAATCAACAATGAATGATTAAGGAGTGGGCATTTGAATGGTGACAAAGTAACACCACACTGGTTCTTTTTGTAACTGTGCAGTAGAGGAGTGAGGCTGTCACTATCCAGTGGTATGTCAATATGAAGTATCTGGTATCACCTACAATGTATTCTAGCAAAAAATATTTCACTTGAATCAACCCAGACATTAGAGCTCCCAGTTTACAGGAAATGCTGGGAAAGAAGAACAGCCGAACAGCATCAAGGGAAAGCACCAGATGAGTCCAGAAGGTGCGACAATGGATGTCGTCCCTGCAAGAAGCCAGTAGCAGGAAAAACAGGGGGGGAGGGCAGTTTGTGCTAGATTAAAATAGATTTAAGGAACATAACAACCCGATAAAGTGTGGTCTTGGGCTGGATTCTGGTTTGGACAAAACTAGCCATAATAGTAAATTTGGGAGATAAGAAAGAAAACTTGAATATGGATGGGTACTAGACATGATGAAAACGCATTGACATGGAAGGGGAAGCTCATCAGCTGAGAAAAGCAGGTTATAAAACAGCCAATACAGAATAATCTCATTCATATATACACTTCTACATATTATATAGTAGAAAACTACCTAGAAGCTGGTTACATGAACATGATGTAAGAGAAAAAAAAAAAAGAGGCATCTATCTAGAAGGAGATATATTACTAAGATCTAATAACCTATGTCTGGGTGGTAGGATATAGTAATTTTATTTTCTTACTTTTGCTTGTCTATATTTTCTAACTTTCTACCGTTAGCATATGCTTGTTAAAATAACCATAACAATTAAGAAAAAAGAGCTCCATATATTTTTGACTTGGGAATGGAGGGGCAGGGGAGGGATGAGGAGTGAGCCAAGAGAGGATTGGGAACGAGCTGGCAGCTCCCGAGGGCAGGGATGTTGTCAGCTTTGCTGCTTATATCTCCCCAGTGCCCAGTGAAGTGTTTAGCACAGAGCAGTTACTCACTACATGATTGCTGAATGAATGACTGAATGTACAAATAGATTTTAGGGCATGGAACACATTGTGGCAGAAGAAGATGAGGCTGACCCAATCCAGCTGAACAGGGAGTCAGGAGACATCGTTCAAGTCCTAGCCCCAGTGGCCACACTTGCTATCTGCATGATCTTGGGTTAGTCACTTTAGCTCTCCAGGCCTCAGGTTCTTCTATAAATCGGGGAGACAAATTGTCTTCCTATTACCTTATGAGATGTTGCGGGGATCAAACGGGACCTCCATGATAAAGGGCTTGACTAGGGAGCACATTTATATGAACACTCACTTTTTTGGGGTGGGGTGGGGGAAGCCCTAGGATTCCCAGAGCCAGTCCTGGTGGCCTGGACAGTGCCTCCAGCTAGCAGTGGCTGCCAAGGAGGACCAGGAAGCGCTGGGACAAAGGCGAGGCTGCTCTGCCAAGGGGAAGAGCCGAATAACTAGGCTGGGCCACGGAAGGCCACTTGGTGCCAGGTGCTCAGGCTTCTTCAAACATGACATTCAGCTCATTAAAATATCTCAGATGTCACTGTGGAGGAGCTAGTGGCTTCAGACCTTAGAAGAAACTATGGTCTGAATATGTTAAAAAAAAAAAAGTGGAGCGGGGGGATTGCAAAATGTTGCAGCTGGGAGGTCTCAGAGATCATTCAATCTTCTCATTTTGAAAATGAGGACACAGAGGCCTAGGTAGGGAAAGGTGACAGTGGCTGTACAGCTCCCATTTCTCAGCGCTACCATGGCCCTATGCCTTCCAGGATTCGGGCGGCTGTGCCCCCTTCTCTATGGTGCTCTGGCCAAGGGAATCCTCCCATGTTCCTCATCCCCAGAGCCTTCAGATTGGCTTCCTCCTCCCCAGTCTCCCTCTTTTTCCAACCCATCACCCCTAATTAGCCCAAGACAGGGAGGAGGGATGGGCTCCAAGGACTGGAGCAGGGAACCCTAAGAAAGCAAGGACAGGGTGAAGACCCAGAGGAGGCAGGAGAACGGACATGAGGGATGAGACCGCCTGGGGTCACACTCTGAGTGAGTGAAGAGTCTGCCCCTGGCCCTCTGAATCCCTGCTCGGGCTCCTTCTGCTCTCCATCTTCCTCCTAGATGGGAGGCTGAAATATGCTTTGAAGCAGGCTGTTGCCTGACCCCAAGGTCTCCAGACACACCACATGCCTCGGAGGAGGCCTGGGAGCCAGAATAGGAAAATGGCAGCCAGCAGACACAGGACTCCAAACCTGGCCAGTGTGCTGCTCCCCCGCACGCCTGTCAGTCCAGGACCAGCAGGAAGACAGACACCCCAAAGGCTTTCTCTACACATCACTTTCCTGATCAAGAACCTATGACAGCTCCCTAAAGGTCATTTCACTGGAGTCCAGCCACCCTCTAACTGGACCCTCCAGGACCTCCATGCATCCTTTGCTCCACTCCCCACCCCCACCTCCACCCCTCTCTGACTTCCCCCAGGGATATTTGCCATCATGACTGTGGCTTCAGCAAACCTCACCAACACCCCCCCCCCCCACCAGGTGACAGTGGCTGTACAGCTCCCATTTCTCAGCGCTACCATGGCCCTATGCCTTCCAGGATTCGGGTGGCTGTGCCCCCTTCTCTATGGTGCTCTGGCCAAGGGAATCCTCCCATGTTCCTCATCCCCAGAGCCTTCAGATTGGCTTCCTCCTCCCCAGTCTCCCTCTTTTTCCAACCCATCACCCCTAATTAGCCCAAGACAGGGAGGAGGGATGGGCTCCAAGGACTGGAGCAGGGAACCCTAAGAAAGCAAGGACAGGGTGAAGACCCAGAGGAGGCAGCGGGCTCCAAGGACTGGAGCGGGGAACCCTAAGAAAGCAACGACAGGGTGAAGACCCAGAGGAGGCAGGAGAACGGACATGAGAGATGAGACCGCCTGGGTCTCCAGACCTTGTCATGTCCAGGGATGGTGTGTGGGTGCAAGTCCTCCCCCTCAAGTTCTGCTCTGGGGCTTGACGCAGGGTGAGTATTCTAAATTATCCAGAGAAGGGCCTGGTGGGACAGAGGCCCCTTCCTGGGGCAGGGAGCCTGCCTTAGTACTAGGAGAGGCAGTTCTCCCATGGTTTCCCTCCCCACAAAGTAAGGGGCTGTGGGGGGGAACATGCAGTCATTTGGTGCAGTGGGGGGATGAGAGATAGGGTAGGAGTGGCCTGTCTATTCTAGCAGGGCAGGGAAGAGTACTAGGAGAGGCAGTTCTCCCATGGTTTCCCTCCCCACAAAGTAAGGGGCTGTGGGGGGCACATGCAGTCATTTCGTGCAGTGGGGGGATGAGAGATAGGGTAGGAGTGGCCTGTCTATTCTAGCAGGGCAGGGAAGGCAGGAGCTCTGGGTGGGGGAAGGCGAGGCACATTGCCAGAAGTATCAGGGGTGAGGAACAGACGGAAAGAGAAGGGCTGATGGGTCCCAGCTGGCCTGGGCAGGACACCCACCTCTCGGTTCTCAGGCTGCTGCTGAGGAAAAGGAGGGCTGTCCGTGTGACCTCCAGAGTCCGCCTACAGGTGGTCTGAAGCACCTCCCTGCCCAAGGGGAGCCTGAGTCAGGGCCACCTCGATCAGGGGACTGAGGGCACCACTCACACAGGCATGGCCCTAGGGTGGTGCAGAAGGTCTGGGTGGCCTGCCTCCCCTCTGCCCCCAGCCCTCACGGGTACTCACACAACCCAGTGCAGCCCTCGGAGCATCAGCTCCTGTCCATGCAGCAGGGCCCGTGCCAGCCACAGGGCCTGGTAGCTGGCGCCCAACACACCCTGAAACACACGGGTGGGCAGAGTCAGGTCTCACACCCCTTTCTCCTGTACCACCCCCCTCCCTGCCACATGGGGGCTGACCCTCACCTTGACTGTGTTGTAATCTGCCTGTAGGTCCACTTTGGGGACGAACTTGGGGACATCCAGAGCAGCTGTAGACAAAGACCCTGTCTGAGGGGCCTGCATGTATGGTTCTGGATCAACTCTGAGCTCTCTTTTTTTTTTTTTTTTTTCCTATTCCCAGCTCACACTCACCCCTCACTGCCAACCTCCCACCTCAAGCTTCCCAACTCACCCAGGCCCCCACCTTCCACACCTTGAATGCAATTGTGGTCCCTTACTGTCACCTTGTGGCCACACCAGAGAACTACATCTCATGCTTAGGACCCATCTCAGCCAGAAAATGGACTAAAAGCTCCCTCTTGCCCTTACTTTCAAGGCTAATTCCCCTTCCAGCCTCAGAGAGAAAGGATGAAATTGGCATCATTCAAATGAGAAGGAATGATATTTTTGTTAGAACTTGGAAAAATGACATTTTTGTTAGAGCTCTGGACTCTTGACCATCTTCCCTTTTTTCCAGCAGCTGGACTCTTCTTCCTTGAACACAAACTGCCTGAGCCTTCCCCACCAGTCACAGAGATTGTGGACAGCACATTAAATCCAAAACTCCTTGTTTCAATTGGAGTTTCTTTCACAGCTCTGAGGACACTGGGAAGCTTGAGGAGGTAAAGCCACCAGCCCAAGTCATATAGCATCTCAGAGGAACAGGCAGAAAAATGAGAACCCACATCTGCCTTCTGTACCCTGTGGGCCCAAAGAAACACCCACAAAGAAAATTAATCAATGCCCTGGACTGTGAACCCTGCCTCTCACAGGAGAGTGGGAAGAGGAGAACAGATCCAGCCTGGGTGGTCCTACTCACGGTCCCTGAAGGCCAGCCCCCTGGGGGTCTCACTGGCCACGCTGAACAGGGTCAGGGGGCTGCTTGCGGTCGTGTGGGTGATGTGCTGTGCTGACAGGTTGGGCTCAAGGACACAGAGGTGACCCTCAAAGAGGTACTCCTGGTGCCGGGGGGCCACCTTGGTCTGCTCATAGACGGCCTCCAGGAAGATGGCTATCCTAGACACAGCAGGGGACACGGAGGACAGGGGAGGGTAGGAAGGGTCAGCAGGCAGGATGCAGGGTCAGGGTGACCCCAGTCAAGACCTGGCCCATGGAGAAGGCTCAGGTTTTCAGAGGGAGGGACTGGGGTGGTTTTCTCTCTCATCAAGTGTAGAGAGACAAAGGGTAGATTTCATGCCTTATAGTGGATGGAGACAGAGTGGGAACAGAACCCAGGAGTCCTGACACCCAGCCTCTGCCTTTGCCCCTTTCTGCCACACTCCCACTAAAACTCACCTAGTGCTATACAGTACTCCAGGAATAAAGGGTTCTATGAGCAATGATTTTAGGAAATGTAGCAACACATGCACATTAGCATTATAAAGGGTGCTGAATCTCTGAATACAAGCAAGGAAATCTGTTCAATCTTGTGGCACTCTTACTTTTCCACGCTAAGTTTAAATCCAGAAGCTTTCACATATAAACACTCTGTAGAACACGCTTTGGGAGATGTTGCTTTGGACACACACATCTGCTTGGGTAGAGAAGGTTCTCGTGTGCCTCCCCTCCCTCGTCCCCACTTACGTGTTGTGGGCATGGATGTAGACATGGTACAGGACTGCCTGGGACAGGGAGAAGACGTGGACGACCACTCGCTGCAGGATGTCACTGGTCTCCGCAAAGAACTGGTCGAAGCCCCAGCACTTTGCCTGCTCTACCTCCAGGATGTTAGCCAGGATGGGCACCAGCTGGCTCTGCAGCCCCCTGCCCTCCCAGGACATAAGGACTGTCAGGGGCTGGGACCCTGGCTTATCCTCCTTAAGTAGGTCATAGGGACATTCCATGAGAACGTTCTGAAGGGCTCGAACCAAGGTGGTGAGCAGGGTGGGCTGGGGAGGAATTGCTGGAAGAACTTGTCCCAGCATACAGATGGGAAAACAGAGGCCACAGGGGAGAGTGGTGTGCCCGAGCCCACAGCTGCACAGGGCCCCGCTGGAACGGGCCCCAGAAGCCTTGACTCAGCACAGAGAAGGGACGCCCAGCCAACTGTCTGTGTTCATCCCCCCCACCAGGGTCCCACTCACAGTGATAGTCGGCAGGTGACAGGGAGAGTGTAGCTCCACTCCAGAGACCCATTCTCCCGCCTCTGAGTCCCTGCAATGGCTCCAGCCGGCTTCTCTGTGGTGATCCGGTACCTGGAGTGAGGCAAGGCCAGGTTAGTGGGACCCCCAGCCCGTCATACTTCAAGGGGTGACACACTCTTCATGGGGGGCTCAGAGGACTGGTTCGAGTCACCCAGCCACTCTGGGGTAGCTTGAAAAATGGAATTTGAGAGTCCTGGCTTTCAGCTGACAAGACCACCTTGCCTTGATACCCCCCACCCCCACCCCCCTCTTATAGTGGACAGAGACAGAGTGGAAACAGAACCAGGGGTCCTGAGCTCTTTGTTTCCACTGTCCACTGCTTCCACCCCCTCCCTACACCCCACAGCCTGGCCCACTCCACACCTTTGCCCATGCTGTGCCTGGCCCCCAATGTCCTCTCCTGCTCTTTACTTTTTAATTATTCAAAGCTTGGCCTTCCCCGACAACCCTGTCCATGCCAGTCCCTGTCCCTTCGCCTAAACCTAGTGCACGTTCCACATGGCCTGACCCCTGGGCCGAGGGTGAGTGCATGGACCTTCCTACTAATCCAGCTCAAATCTTGTTGTGGGTGGCGCACTCAGTGGGAGCAGCCACTGTTTTCCAGCTACTTCTGGAAACCAGGGAAAGACCTTTTTGGACCTGGGATCAGGAGGCTGGATTCTTGCCCTACTTCTGCCCCTGGCAGGCTCTGCAACCTTGGGCAAGTGGCTTTTTGATGCTCGGCTGGGATGCAGAGACAGTAATGCGCAGAGGGTTAAAGCAAAGCACCGTGGTGGACGGACCAGTACAAAACTATGCTCTCTGCCCTAAGTGACTCATTGTGCAGTATGTGCACGTATCGAAACCACACACTGTACCCCACAAAGATGTACAAGTGAATGTTAAAATAAAAAAAATAGAATTAAATAAATAAATGAAGTGAAGCACTGCACGACGATGAGGGAGTGTTAGCAGTCTCCCACCGAGCCACTGGCAGGGCTCAGTTTCTTGTTTGCCTGACTGGTTAACAAAGGATCTGAAAGGAGCCTGGGTACAGGGCGGGCCAGAGGATGACCACAAAGTTTGTGGGTGAATGGGAGACAAGCAGGGGCCAGAGGGAGATCGGCCAGTTGTCCGCCCTCACTCCCTACCGCGTGGCCACCTACATGATCTCCTTGTTGCGCCGTGGCCCACCAAAGGGGACGAAGGGCAGGCTGCCGGTGGCCGCATGGTACAGCGTCACCCCAATGCTCCAGAGATCCACGGTCACCCCAAACGCCTTCTGCTGGGGCTTGCGAAGCACCGCCCGCTCATACACGTCAGGGTGCTGTGGAGACAACCACAGGGCAGCCATGGAGGCGGGGGGACAAGGCCTGAGCCCCTACTCGCCAGACCCTCTTCCACCTTCAGGTGAAAACAGAACCATGCAGAATCCATCTCCTTTGTCATCTTCAAAATGGGCGTTGCCCTCGCCTACCCGGAGCATTTCTCTCTGTCCACCCTCTGCCGTGGGGAAGCTGGTGACAGGTGCATCCCATCCTCCACAAGTATCAGATCAAGGACTTAGCTGCACAAAGGTGGCCTTGGCAGGGTGGCCTTTGCCTTTGCCATCTCAGAAAACAGAATGAATTCTCCTGGTTTGGGTGCAGGGGGTGGGCCTGATCCTCTCACAGGGGCTGTGGCTCGGGGTGGCGGGTCCCCAGCGTCCCTCTCACCAGGTATTCCTCAGTCCCGTAGACCGAGACGAACTGCTCATCATCACCCAGCTCCCGGGCCGCGCCGAAGTCCGTCAGCTTGTAGATGCTCTGTCCCGCCTCCCCCACCAGGCGCATGATGTTCCCCGGCTTGATGTCGCGGTGGACAATGCCGTTCTCCCGCAGGTGGTTCATGCCGGCCACTGGGGACACACAGAGGGCTGCTGGCTGACCCTGGCCAGGGACAGTCTCGTGACTGAGGCTCACCTTGATGGGAAGGCTGGCCCTGGGTCCAAATTGACTGGGAGTTCCCACGGGTGACAGGACCTCAGGGAAACAGGACAGAGCCGGGCACGGGGTGAAGGAGGGAGTCTGAAGGGTACCACGGTATCGAGGTTCCATCTGGATTCTCTAAGAAACTGAAAAGAGTGGCGGCTCTGCCTCCACAAGAGTGGCTCTGCCCCCCCCCTTTTAGTATTTATTTATTATTTATTTATTTAATTGTGGTAAAATATGCATAACAACATTTAGCATCTTAACCATTTTAAGTGTACAGTTCAGTGGCGTTAAGTGCATTAACACTGTCTCGGAATCATCCCCTTTATCCATCTCCAGAACTTTCTCATCTTCTCAGACTGAAACTCCATATCCATTAAACAATTACTCCCCCTCGGCTAGCCCTTGGCAGCCACCACTTTCCTTTTGGTGTCTATGAATCCGGCTACCCTAGGGACCTCATATGAGTAGAATCACACCATGTTTGTCCTCTTATGTCCGGCTCATTTCTCTCAGCTTAGTGTCTTAAAGTTTCATCCAGGCTGGAGCATGTGTCAGAATTTCCTTCCTTTCAAGGCTGAGTAATATTCCATTGTATGGACATACCGCTTTGGTGTACACATTTAGGCTGTTTCTACCTTTTGTCTATTGTGAATAATGCTGCTATGAACACTGGTATCCAATCTTTTTTAAATTTTATTTTTAAATTGGAGTCTTAAGCTAAATGACCAGCAGGAATCAGACACCTGAGTCCTTCATGTCAGTGTCTGTCCCAGGCCTGTGAACGGAGAGCCTCTTAGTTTCTGAATGTCTGTTTCAGAAATGTCACATACCTCTGGGACTTTGCCTAACACTGAGGGCTGGGCCAGTTGCTGGTCCGAGAGGGAGGTGGGGACAGGGACGGCTCACCCACGCAGCGCAGCACCACCAAGAACTCCTCCTCGGGCAGTCCGAAGGCATTCTCAGGGCTCTCGAGCACGCTGAGCAGACTCCCGCTGGAGCAGTACTCCATCACCAGCACCTTCTGCCGGCTGCTCCCCTGCAGGCGAGACAGAGGGAGGCTTGGGGAGGGTGACACCTCTCCTTGCCCATCCAGAAGAAGTGGCCCAGCCTAGAGCCAAAAGCCCCCATTCTCTAGGTCACAGCTTCCGGCCTGGCCTTCCCTCCTTGGTCTTGCACTGGTCCCGTCTATGGGAATCCAAGGTCACCTCTTCCAGGAAGCCCTCTCTGATTTGGCACTGATCCCATCATTCCTTGCCCATACGCTGCCCTCACACCCCCTGCCTTCTTTACACCCCTCTACAGTTTGCCTGCTCTTTCTGACCCACCGATGAGCATGTGACCAAGTCTCTGTTGTGTGACGCAGACTGTGAAGGTCAAGGACAAGACTGTCTGCTGTGATCAAGCACAGGACCCACCGTCTCCTCCACCGCAAACAGCTTGATGATGTTCTGGTGGTTCAGCTTCCGCAGGACCTCAAACTCCCTCATCTGCACTTCGCGGGGTCGCATGTAGCTGGCGGTGTTGAAGACCTTCACGGCAACCAGCTCCCCAGATTTCTGTCGTGGGGGATTGAGGGATGGCAGACAGCACCAGATAATACAAGTCTCACCCCTGCCGGGAAGCTGCCACCCTCTCATGCCAGCCCAACACCAGAGCTGAGCAGACAGCCTGAAGGGATGGGGGCTCCCACCCTCAGCTCCTTCCCCTACTCAGGGGCAGATGGTCCAACACTGCGAGGTGACGAGGGCTTGGAACAGCTAATATCCTGCAGGAAGTGGCTTGTTGTTCCTATTGCTTTTGCTACTGACAGTAACTATAATGGCAGCTCGCACTCCCTGATGTGAGCAGCAGAGCTGGGATCGCAATCTAGTCTGTGTGGCTCCAACTCTTAAGGATGAGATAATGAAGTATCATCTCATATATTCTAATACGGCTCTGCCATAAACACAGGATAAATCCAAACAAGTTGTACTTCCCCCTCTGCTGTTCCTAGATGCCATTTGCTGTTACCTCCCTTGGATATTTGCTTTGTGACTTCATCTTTCTCTTGTCCCAACTCGTGCCTGATAGACGCATCATCCCAAGGAGCCCTTTTTAAGCTCCCCACACCTCTGCTCAAACCCACAGTGTCTTCCCTCCCCAAATTGTGCAGAGCAAAGTCCAGAGGCCCCTGCCTGGCCACATGCTACCCTTGGTGCCCACTGGGGCTGATCGTGCCTGCTGCCTGGGTGTGAGAAGCCCAATGGCTGGGCTGGGCAGGGCCCAGCCAGGGTTGCTCCCTACCTTGTTGCGGGCCTTGTACACACTGGCAGTGGCTCCCTGCCCCAGCAGGTCGTCCGTGTGCCACAGGTAATTGACTGTGCTCTGCATCTCCTACCCAGGGGTGGCTGGCCACCTTCCACCTAGAAAAAGAACATGCTGGGGGTTCCAGGATTCCATCCGTGACCTGATGGACACTGGTGGCCTGACCAATAGCTATGCCCCAAGACCACCCCATGAAGGGCTCCCTGTAGCCATTCCACAGGCAAGGGAGCAGGGGAAGTGTGAAGAACAGAAAGGATAAGTAACTTCCCCCAAAAGAAGCGTGACATAAAGAAGTCCCCACTAGTCCACAGCAACAGCCTGTGCCTGGTCCACCCGTAGGGCCTTCTGCCTGTCCTCATTCCCCAGGTCCCCTCTAGCCCCCTGCCCAGACAGGCCATTCTGCAGGAACAACCTTCTTTTCTCTCCCACCTCTCCCAGGCACTGAGAATTCCAGGGCTTTGGCATCCAGGCCTGGGATTGTCCCAGGAAGCAGAACAGTGCAGGAGGAAGGGCCCCAGGTCAGGCAGCATCAGCCACACGACCACAAATCTCCAGGATTGCAAAATGAGCCTGGAGCTCCCTCCCCCCAAGGCCCACCACTTCCTGCTGCTGTGAGCTGACAGCTGCTGGCCAGACAGCCAGCACGGCCAGGTCAGCACTGCTACAGAGAGGAACAGGGCTGCTGCAGAGGGCGGGTGTGGGGGGTTGAGCAGGGGTGACGGAGGCAAGAGGCATCAAATTTAAAGGTTAAGGAGCCTTGGGGAGGATCTGAAACCCTCTACAACTCCATTTCTCATCTTTGCCACAACCTCTGCCCTCCAAAGCTTGGTTCTTCTAAAGCAATTGGCTCCAGAATGTGTAGCCTCAGAAGTTAAGGTCAATGTCTCTCTAAAAAATAAGGCCAGGACTGGACTCTTTGGCATGACTTTTGGGGCAAGAGGATTGGAAGGGCCACTGTCCCCTAAACACTTTCAAATAAGGCAGGACTGGACAAGGGCCTCTTCCTGTTCTAATACCTTATAAATTCTCAAACTGAGGGTTGCCACACCTGGAGTCATGTTTCTTAGCTTTGAAACTTTTCCCTCTGTAATCTTTTTTGAAAATACAAACACTTGAGAACGTCTGTTCCTAGAGCCAGAGGGCGCATGAAGAGATGAGTGGTCAGTTCCTAGTTTCAGACAATGTATTAGCATTTGCATTTGGCAGAAGCAACTGAGATACCAAGAGGCTTCCAGAAGACAATATTATGAATGAGTTGGTCCAGTTTTTCCCCCTGAGGCTGATGGAGTCACCTGTGGGCCTGGGGGTGTGTGGCCATGGCAGAGCACACTAAAATCAAGGCCAAGGACCCTGGTACTGGGGCTAGGCACAGCTGAAGACCCCGGGATAATGGGTAGTGTGTTGCAGAGGGCAGAGCCGAGCCGGGTGCCATGTCCCTGGCTTCTGTGCCGAGGAACTCTGCTTGTGGCACATCTGGCTCACCTGGCTTACCTCTGCATCCTCTGCAGCCCCCACACCCCAACCCCAGCACCTGGGGCACAGAAGAACTCAGTAGCCTTCAGTGAGTGGTTGGATAAATAAGCAGGTGGATGGTGAAGCCTGTGAGCCAGTGGACCCACCCACCACCTCCTCCCCTCCTGAGGGTCAGCTGTGACCAAATGCACTTACCCCACGTTCTGAGCGGCACTGACTCAGGCAAAGACTCCCCCTGGCGAGCGTGTGTTATGCTTTCTGTCTGTGGCAAGTTCAGGAGCTGAGCTACACCGGAAGGAGGAGGGTGGATGAGAGGTGCCCCTTGGTGTTGTTTGATCTCAGCCTTCCTCAAAGGCCACTGGCTCCAGCCCTTTAACCCTTTCCTGTTTGTTACCCTCCCTCACAGGGCTGGGGGGGTTTCCAGCCCTATTCCCCAGCCATTCCGGGAGACTTTCCTGGCCACTCCCATTCCTGGGGCTCAGGCCAGGGAGAAAGACCCCAGGAGAGGTGAGGCAGGCACCAGAAGCTGAACACTGGCTGGCTTTGGAAGGCATTGGGAAGCAGAGCCCGGGAGATGGTGGCCACAGCCCCCCCTGCTGACTCTCACTGGCCTCCAAGCAGTCCTTTCCAAGAGTGCCCACCAGTGATGGAGCACAGGACACCACCCAGCCCCCAACAGGCACAGAGAGACACAGGGAGGGGCACTGGGCCGGGAGAGCTGCTGCTGACCACCCGCACCCCCCACTCCCCCCTTCCCCACGGACGCTGCAACTCACCACATCTCAGCTGCAGAGGATGCAGGCTTGTGGGACTGGGTGGCACCCCCAGGGCTTTCAGGGCTTGCTGTCATTCATGGGGAGTGCTCATAGCATGCTGCTGGCCATAGGCCCCTGAGACCCACAGGCAGGGCCAGCTGAAATGGCCTGTGTCACACCAGGAGCTGGGACTGGTGGGTTTCCTCCCTGCCTCCCTGCCAGCGGGACACCCAGCTCAGCACAGAGCCCTAGCTCTCTCACACTTCCTGATTTCGTTCTCTTGCTCTCTCTCTTTCTCTCTTAAAGAGACAGAGGCAGCTCGGCTGCCTTGGGTAACCCAGCAGGAAGGAGAAAGAAGATGCTCTGAGTTCCCAAGAGGAGGCAATAGGACCAGAGTCTGAGCCACAAAGAGGCCAGGAACTGAAGCCTAGGTGGCTGTGGCAGGCCTCTGGGTGCTGTTTTGGCATCTCCCGCAATTCACTGGAGCAGGGAAGTTCAGGGCTCTGCCTAGAGTCCACAGAGCAGGTTGGGCAAGTTAACAAGTGGAAAGCTGCCTGGAAAGACCAAGTTCTCACACCCAGGAGCCCCAGGGAGGTCCAGGACCTATGCCCAGCCACTCCTAGGAGAAGTTGGATGTGACTTACCTTCCCAGTCAGTGAGCCCAAAGAGGCCCCAGAGCAAGCCCCCAGAACCCAGGTGATGCCCTCCAGTGTACCCTGAGCACTGCACACACCCTCCCAGCTAGCTTCTCATCCACAATACGAGGACAGTAACATTTTCTCCATGGGTTGTATGGATGACACGGAACAATATATTTGGAAATATTTAAGAGACTGGAAAACATTTTACAGACAGGCATTGAAGGCATTAAGGCACATATACCTTCAGTAATTTGCCCAAGATCTTCAGAGACTGCTGGGGCTAGAGAGCAGGTGTCCAACTTCCCAGCCAGGACTCAGTGCCCCAAATCAAATGTCCTAGGAAGCTGGGGAGGTATGTGTTACTCTGGTCAGCTCTGAGATGACAGTTGGGTAAGAGGTGGTTAAAACCAGGAAATTCCATGTTTCTAAAGAATGTTGGAGGGACTTTCCCATGGCCACACCTGGTGGTTTCCTCTGCCAACCCCACCCCTACCACGATGACACCAGAATAGGAGCAGAGCTGAGAACTGCGTCTTGCTCAGATAGATAAAGCTCCTGATAACACTGCAGCCAGAGGCTCGCTGTGGGTTCTCACAGCAGGACCAGGAGGAATGTCCCTGAGATCCTCATGCTCCACCCAGTCCCAGCCTTCCGCCTGCCTGGCGTGTGGGAAAACTGCATTTCCTTGGCACCCGTGATGTGATTGGGGCGGGGGGCAGCAGGGGGAAGGGGAGGAAGCACGTGACTTCCAGACCAAAGCATTTAATTGCTGATGCAAGACCCTGGAGTTCCTGCCTTTGGGCAGTTTAATTCTGTTAGACAAGGTGGCTGTTCCATCAGTCTGGGTCCCTGAGTGACTACCATGGGCAGAGCCCCTCTGCTGGTCCACAAGGGACATTTGGCTTTGGTGAGAAATCAACCCTTGTTGTTTCAGGCTGTTGAGGTTTGCAGCATAACCTAGCCAGTCCCTAAATGTTCATCCATGTTTCCCTGATAAACCTGCTGGGTCCTCACCAGCACCCCTTCTTCCTCTCTCTAGCAAGCCCCATCTCTTTTTCCCAGCATCATTAGCACTTTCAAACACAACAAACGTGCCTGTAGCATCTACTATGAAGCAGGTGCAGTGTGCTGAGGACACGAAGGTGAGACCTAGGCGTCCGCCCAGGAGCCCAGGGTCCAGGATAGCATGCTGAAATCAGCAGTGACTTTGTGAACTCTGGCGGGGAGCAGTGAGGGCAGGAAGGGGTGGTCGTGTCAAGAGGGGCTTGCCAGAGGGAGGATGATCGACTAGATGTAAGAAAGAGGGGAAGCAGAGAAGAAGGGGGTGGAGGTGAGGAATTCCAGGCAGTGAGGACACCTGCAGGGGTACATAAGCAGGAGGAGAGTGGGACTTGCTTGGGGCACTGTGCGTGGTAAGGCTAGAGAAAAGGAGGAGAGGTGGAAGTGGCCTGGAGCCACATGTGGTGACAGATCAAGTTTCATTGGGCATCTTCTGTGAGGTCACATCCTCTGTGTGGGCAAAATAAAGGAATGTCTTGCGAGTGTCCCAGCTGAGCAGCATGCCTGTGTTTCATCTGGGGAGGTGTGGGAGCCTACAGGCTCCTGAAGGGAAGTCTGTAAGAGCCTCGTACATCTTCCCTGAGTGGCTCTGAGGAGTCGTAGAAATAGAAGTGACAATCCAAAGGTACAAGTACCAGAGGCAGGAAGAGGGGGGTCCTTGATGGCAAGCTCTCAGGGAAAAAACCTCATGTCTGCCTTCTACAATGGGAGGCTGTGTGGTGTGGTGGAAGGGGCGGAAGCTAGCTATGTCATCACAGAGGTTTGCATCCTGACTCTACCACTGACTCTGGGTGACCTTGTACAAGTCACTCAACCTTTCTCATAGGGTTGGTGTGAAAGCAAAATGAGACAAAGTGCCTGGTACTTGGTAGGTTCTGATAGATATCAGTTGCTTTTTTCTGCTCCTACAGGACCTGAGCCAGACTTTCTCAGCTGATTCACCTCCCACTGCCTTAAAAGAAGGGGGGGTGGGGGGGAGGACTAGAGCGGGGTGGGTATGGGGGAGGGGTGGGGGCATTGCGGGGCAGGGTGTGCTTGCTGTGCTCGGTCACAAGTACGAAGGGCATGAGCTGGCTGGTTAGCTCAATTGGTTAGAGCATGGTGTCATAACACTAAGTCAGGGGTTCGGATCCCCATACCGGCCAGCCGCCAAAAACAAACAAAAACACACACACAAAAGACCAAGAAAACAAATGTGAAGAGCTGAGTGACGAGATGTCAAAGCCTGGCTCCTTGTCACCTTCAGCAATCAGTTCTGGGTGAGGAGGAAGGGACAAACACTGCAGCCAGACCCAGTGCTACTCTCCCAAGCAGTGGGAAACAGTGCTGTGAGAGCTGCATCCAGGCCACTGATGCAAACTGGCCCTTGGGCCACCACATGTCATCTTTTCTAATATGGAAAAGTGAGTGTTTCACTGATTCCCCTGATTCTTCAAACCTCCTCTGCACCACTCCCTCCTGCACTCTCAACTAAAGACCTCGCCTCAAACTTCACTGAAACAAAAGCAACTCATTTTCTCACCCCCACATCCATCCATCCGCTGCCTGCCTTGCACCTGGGCTCACACCTGCCTTCCTCCCGTGAGACTGGAGAAAGCGCCTCTTCTCCTGACCATAGGCAACCCTGCCACTGGTGCTGGGTAATTCACCGCCCCTCCTGCATACTCATTCTTCCCATTCCACTGGCCCTGTCCATCCAGCAAACTGCCTCAACACTGTCTGTCTTCAAAACAAAAACCTGGTCCTTTCACCCCGCTTGATGCTCCCCATTCAATGTGCCGCCGAGTTCTTCACTTCCCTTCCCACTGGCCGCCCACCCAGTCCAATCAGACTCATTCCCCGCTGCTGAAAATGCTCTCGTCCAGGTCACCCAACAAGGATTACCTTTCTACACCAGCCTCATCTTACCCCACAGGCATTCAACAGTCGATCCCTCCCTCTTTGTTGAAATGTTTTGTTCTGTGACACTGTGCTCTCCCCACCACTGACCTCACTGTCGCCTGTTCCATTTGTCTTCTTTGCTGGCTCCTCCTCTGCCGGGTTTCTAATTATTGGGACCTTCTCTTTTTTCCATCTATACATTCTTTCCAGGAAGCTCATCGTTTGAGTACGTCTATAATGCAATAGCTCCTAAATTTGTTTGCAGGTATGATCTCTCCCCAAAACTCGAGATCCACATATCCAAAGTATCTGTTTGATACTTTGTTTTGTTTTGTTTTTGGCAGTGGCCAGTACAGAGATCAAATCCTGGACCTTGGTGTTATCAGCACCGCACTGACCAGCTGAGCTAACTGACCAGCCCTGTCTTTGATATTGCCACTTGCATGTGTACTAGTCATCTCAACATTACCAGGCCATGCAGAATTCTTCATCTCCTGCACTACTCCTTCCCACTGTAATGGCCTTTCTTGACAAGTCCTGGCATTCACTATCTTATTACATTGTTTTGTCTTCAGTCACAGTAGTTTCACTTATTTATCTATCCTCCCTGACTAGAAAGAAAGCCCATTACCTGTTTATCCTGTTCAATACTGTCTGACAGTGCTTGCACAGAGAGAGCCTCTCAGTTTGTGACTGACTAAATGATTCTTATTCCAAATGTAATATGCCAGGGCTGCTAACTCCTGAGTAAAAGAAAACCTCATATACCTATTGACATGAACATTTAGAATAGAACATCTCTAAAGGCCATTTCCTTAATTCATACCCACCTGGTTTCCTTTTTTGCTTTCTATCTGGATGGAATGGGCTTGCATTCTGGCTATGTTCATTGTCACTAGTTTTCATCAGGCTCCCATCAGAATATAATGAGATGAAGAGAACTCAAAAAGCAAAGCCCACCTTTGCCTTAGGACTCTCTGTAAAGGCTCTTTGGTCCTCCCTCTGCTCACTGCCTAAAAACTGGCTCCATCTCACTGCTACTCTGGGGTGCCCCTGACCATCTCCACTCCACCTACACTCTAGGAGTGAGAACTCATACCACAGGGTGGCAGGACAGCCTCAGCTTTGACTTACCCAAGGCCAAGAGTCCAGCAGGAGAAGTTCAGATGTAGCTATTCCATTAAAACAGCGGAGGGGGAAGAGACTATAGGTTGGAAGGCACAATAGAGCTGAATAAAAGATATACAAATAACAGGTGGAGATGACAGACCTAAGAAGAGGATGAAAAGTGTCCAGTCCAGGGCTGGGGGTAGGATTCCTTGCATTATCACTGAACACGGGGTACCCCTGTGGATATGAGAGATTTGAATCCATATTAAAACATGCCCACTAAAAATAAGTGTGGGTCCTTGGGGCTCCAGGATTCATTTTAAGTTGTTACCTTTGAATAACTTCACCTTGAACTTATTCTCTGCTAGAATCCAAATCTAAAGGACAGAAAGCATTTCCTGTATCACCCACCCCCACCAGCAACACAAGCATATTGGTCTGCTCTTCTTGCAGAGGCAGGGGGCTGCCAAGGGCAGAATGACTCAGGGCTTTGGTTGTGGAAGAAATAGATCCTCTGGTCACCCTTGGTTGTGGCCGGCAAAGCTTCCAAGCATCTCCTTAGGCCTCACCCTTCCAAGTGAAGAAATCTGACTAGAGATAGAACAGTCCTCACTGAAAACAGGGAAGGTGGATTCTGCAGAGGAAATGGTTCTCATGGCAACAGACTGCCCAATGGTGAGCCGGAAGACTTTCTACAAAACCTCTTAGATTCCACACATAGGCTAAGTGGAAATGCTGGGGGAAAAAATCCACATTCTAAATTAAACTCTGCTGTGCC